TGTAATATCACCATTGAATGAAGCCAGTGCAACAACATTGTCATTTATGTTAGAAGCTTTTTCACCGAATTTTCTCCAGACACCTTCACCATGCATGTCACCAAAAGTCTCTTCAAAAGTATTAACCAAAATCACACCGGCTGGAGAAATATACATTGTAGAAGAGTTGTTAGTGGCATAGGAGAGACGTAAAAGGCCAGCAAATTTAGAAACACCGACAGTGTTCCAAAAAGCGTCGCTTAGGGGCCGCTGAAGCGCTAAGTGGGAGGCTGCCGCTTTGTACGCTTCGGAGCTTAAGCGGACGCTTTGTACGCTTAAGCCCGCTTATGCTCTAAGCGGCGGGTCACCGCTCGCTTAGCGCTTAGCGCTTTTTTGAACTTTGAGCACCGACTCACCTGGCATTTTTTATGGTAACTTAGGGTAATCCGTGGATACTAGATCTAACTGTTCCTGGTTGAGAAAATCTCCATGTACTGGTGCAACAGGGTCAAGTGATCAGCACTGACATACACTAATACTATACACAGAAAGTAAATTCACTTAAATTCTGCAATAATGATCAGGATGTAGCAATAGTCATATAATGACAACAGCCTGAGCAAGAATTAACATTAGAATTAAGCAACGTGCATGAACATACCCAATAATGATGCTAACTGATTAGACCTAACAATAAGTGAAAGGGCCAGACTAGTTGATATATAAATGAAAATGCTAAACTTGCACTTCTAAACACATACCACTACAAACTGCAACATTTTGCATAACACCACAATGTTAAGCAAAGGCTCGTGTGTTCACCTTTTGGATGATCATTAGATTTCTCACTAAGGGTCTTGCTCCAGATCTGCAGAACATAAAAATGATTAGTTGACTACTAACCTAAAAGGCAAATGGATCAAACCAGTGCATTAATACTCAAAATGGTGCCAAAACCTACATAGATAGAATCATAGGCAAGGAACAAGATAGTTAAATGAGGACCTCAAGTCGTGTGGAAAATGTTTCATGAAAACATGATCATAATGCACACTCCAATAAGAAAAACATACAGCTTTTCAAATTGGCACAAGATATATGATAAATGTAGTACAGACAACTGTGAATCATGACACGTGCCAAAGGTCGGCAAATTTTGTTGAGGTGGCAAAAGGGCTTACCTAACATCTTTAGGAGAAGAGATGAGATACAATAACGTAGGTGAACTAATCAAGGGCACACATCAATTAGACATACCTGCGAACCTTCAAAGTTTTTGACTCTACACGACCAGTCTTCTTTTGCTAGGATGTCCAGTAATGTTCCAGATGCTTGAGAATTGTACCACATGGTATGAAAACAGCTCTTCTCATAGTCGGGAAAAGGTTCATGCCAACAAAGTTCCCATCAACGTAAAAGAAGTGGCCCACCTTCCCAAGCCCGATAACACAATAAAGGTGGCGTACACATTACAAAGTTACATTTGAACAAAATGAAGTTGTATAGGACAAGAGTTAAATATAAATTAAAAATCATTTTTACCGCCTCTGACAAGAAATAACGGAAGCAAAGAAGATGCATAACGTAAATAGAATAGAATGCTTGTATCTTCATGCAAGTGTACCTTAGAGAATTTACAATTAAGATCTTCATCATCCTCACATACCCTTGAATCACCATTCAATCCCACACTCCTCGACCATCATTTTACCGAGAGACGCCACGCCCTACAACTAATACCTCACTTTGAGGTAGAACTTCCGCATGCATGGTTGAAAAGTCCAACCCGAACATCAACAAAGGTATGGACATTGACAACAAAGAAAGTTATGATCTTTATCACATTCAGCCACAAACCCCATAAACACTTCATTGCCTTCATGATGGACTTCAATCTACAAAATGATAAGGCAAGAAATCAGCATACAATTATCTAAGTAAACAAATTAATAAAGAATGATCGTCAGCGCCAACCTTTAAGTCATCATGGTCTTTGTTTGTAAGATTGAGAGCTCTAACCAAACTTGCATAAGTCAGAAACCTTGTAAGGTGGCTCCCCTGGCATTCCATAGCTATGCCCGAACATGAAAACAAGATTGTATCTCCTACAGAAGATCGCAATTAGATCATTTATAGCTGGATGAGTTTCAATATATATTAGTTGGAAGGCTAGGAAGACTAAGCATGTATAATTACCATCGCACAAAGTAATTGAGGCAACACTTATAGACAAATATAACTTTAGCTCATCACTCATTTCATCCAAATATCTTTGTTAGAGAAGTGACCTAGTTGAAGGAAATAAAACATTAAGGCAACTGTGAATAATCAAATAAAGGTGTTTAATGTGTGGGAAAACCTAGCGAAAAGAGAAAAATCTAGCAGCACTGAGGCCCATTCATCCTTGCAAACTCTTACTTACTCGAAGCTTCCGGTGAGATCACCACCACCACTCTTAGCTTTATGCGTCCTCTTCATAATCAAGCGTAACTTTCTTTTAGAAATAAAACAGAGGAGAAAAATTTGGGATCATAAGCGAGATAAGAAACAATATAAAACTATAACCAAGAAACAACATGCAACACACAAATGAAAAACTCTCATTCTTAAGATTTGCTCTTATCCGCCTAGAAGAGGCAATGCAAACATGTAGAGAGGTTTTGTAATGTAAAAGGCGGTGGGGGCAATGGAGCCTAGTGAGAAACAAGTTCTTGATAATTCAAAAGAGGACCACTATAGAACTGATGATCTGAAACTGCACAAGGAATCCCGTGTAGTGCTCTTACTCTGGTAGCGCTGCTTGTTGATTAGCAATCATACTAGATTCTTTAAGCGGGTTTATAAGCAAACATTGCATACTTGAAAAACTCTCGTTATTAAGATATCCTCTTGTCCATCTAGAAGAGGCAATGCAAACAAGTAGAGAGGCTTTGTAACAAATAGCTGTATGCTGCACTGAAACAAGCTCTTGATAATTCAAAAGAGGAACAATACAGAACTGATCTGAAACCGCACAAAGGTATCCCATGTAGTGCTGTTACTCTGGTACCACTACTTGTTGATTAGCAATCATATAAGCGGGTTTCTAAGCAGACATTGTATACTAGAACGCCAATATTGTACCACCCAATCAAGCTATCTTGTTGAGAGAAGTTGACCCCTAAAGTAAAGTTCCAAACTTCCAATCAGATGGACGTATGTAGATCAGCTACATGTACCAAGAATAAGCACTCCTACAGCCCCATACAACGGCTGGATGTACCAAGAAGCCGGGTCGGGACGGAACGTGGGACACAAAACGGGATTTCAGCGTTCCCCTCTACCCCGCAAGAAGTTTTAGGTCAGATCTAGGGGTTAACGTGTCTGAAGTCACACAAGAGGGAGAGAAGGGATGAGGAGGACGATGCACTGTACTTGGCGTCCAGCGTTACAGCACGGGGCAGGGCGGGGCAAGGCTTGAACTCAGCTAGAATCTACGGTATTTTTCTCTCATAATAAATCAGCTTCAGCCGGCTTATCAGTTGGCTTGGGGAGGAGGAGGGACAGGGCCCGGCGCTTCCAGAATCCAGTTGAAGGGGCGAAATATCAAGCAGAAAATTCCATATTTAGCATAACAAGGGTTCCTAAAATCTTTTTAATATAGCATTATTAGATTTAATTTATGAGGGGAAAAGACCATTTACACCTGTTTCATTTGTAGCACCATCAATATGTTAAAGATGATATTTTATTGCACTCTTTTTGAAAAGGAACTTTTTTAGATCATTAATATTTTTTGGAGTACATTTTTTGTACATATTATTTATGGCTGTACAATTTTGTGGATAATAATAAATTTTTAACGTACATCAAGAATTGTCGTAAATAATATGTGCAAAAGAATTGTACTACCAAAAAATATTCATGGTCCAAAAAATTGTATTGCCAAAAAATGTTAAATTTTGTATTAAAATGATATTGTCAAAAAAAATAATTTTTTTAGCGTACCAAACGGACATCAAGAATTGTCGCAAAATAATATGTGCAAAAGAATTGTACTACCAAAAAATAGTCATGGTCCAAAAAATTCTGTTGCTAAAAAATATTTAATTTTGTATTAAAATGATATTGTCAAAAAAATTTGTGCAATAAAATTTAATAGTTAACGCATTGATGTGACTGTGCATGTAAATAGGGATAAAATGGTCTTTTCTCCCACATAGTTAGACGGTGTTAGAGGCTACGTCTAACGGCAGTGCTATACATGGAACAAAAATAAATCCAATGTTATATTAAGAAGATTTTATCTTTCGGTGCTAAATAAGTAACCATGTCATATTTCGATGTTAAATAGGGAATTTTCTCAATATGTAGGTCTACTAGCAAATCACAGTTACCGGATCAGTGTTAGATGGACGGGATTTGTGCTGGAGCCTATCAGCTAGACTGAGTAGCGGTCTAGTCATTTTGTGCGGTAACAACACTTGATTATCTTACAAATTGCCACGTTGATTGTCCCGTACAACGTGATTAAAGTACGTGTACTTCGCTCGTAGCATAAAGACTTTCCCTTCTCTGGAGGCGCTTCCATAGATGGCTTCCAGGCTCCTACGGCGGCCAGGTATGACCACTGTCAGGATTTGGCAAGAGAAATCGAGGTTTGGAAACAGAAATTAAACAAAAATCAGCAAAGAAAGAGAACTCAGGGATCAATTTGGAAATGGATATATTCAACAAATCAGCAAAAGACCAAAAGAGCTCAAGTAGGAATTCAGGGGAGTAGCAGCCGATGGAACCAGACTACCAGACTTCAGATAGGGCTCGATACAAATGCCAACAGTGAGACGAAGAAGCTGCAGCTACTATTCTAGCCTTCTAGGTTTCTACTGAGTCCTTGTTCACGATAACCCCTATCACACACGACCTGGCACTTATGAGGAGTATCTAGGACATTAAATAAACCATTAAGACTCTAATACTGTTTACATTGCATCAATACTGATGCCGTCAATCATAAATACCACAAACAGACACAAACTACCCTAGTGACAACTCCTCTTCCTCTTCTTTCCTGGCCTCTTTAGTGGTGCTGGTGGAAGTAACTTCATCAGTTCATTGACATGGCTAGCTTTCAATATAACTTTTACCTCAGCCGCTTCTGGATCTTCAACCGCATCACGACAGTCCTGCAGAACAATGCCAGCTGTCTTCCCCCTCAAGGTGAACACTGGTGCAGCAGTCAATCTGTTAAGGCCACTGCGAGTCTTCTCAGAATACGGACAAGACACCAGGAAATATTTAGTGGAATCGGCCACCAAATCTGTCTCATTCTCTCCATACGAAGCAAGTGACTCCACAGTAGCAAAGGTGGACATCCTCTGGTTAGCGGTCTGAGAGATTGGAGCGAACATAAATGTGGTAGAAGGAATAAGGCCATCTTCATCTTCCAACAAACTGATCGCCTCACAGCCTGGGTGGAATGCTGTTCTGAGTAAACAGAATGAATCTTGTACAATAACTACTGTGGCCTCTAACTCTTCCCTGTCAAAAAAGACAACCTTCAGGCGCCTCTCTCGCCGTTTCACAAAATCCGAGGACGCTATCACTGTCACAGCCCCGTCCTTCATGATCACACAACCACTACAGTAGGCATCTTCATCCCTCTTGTCAGCAATGATAACCACTGACTTTCTTGCTATCTTAGAAATTCTTGACGTCATGTCTAATATCCTTTCCTGCACAAAATTAGAATGGATTAGTCAAAAAAAAATCATGTGATCCCTGCCATATGACTGTCTAAATGTAATCACATAAAGTAATGCCATACTTAGCATGCGTGCAAACAAATACTTAGCAATTAACATGCATGCAAACAAACAGTATGACGTTAGATCCGTAAAAAAATGCAGTAACAACGTCATGTTTCATAATCTAAGTTTTGGCAAATACTTAGATTGTTCATTCAAACGTTGCATCGTGCAACTGCTTAAACGTACTTAGAAACAACTAAATATACGTGTCTGCAACAACACAAAAGTACATTGATCATCATCTTAAAACAATTACTGCTGCAATTAAATATATATACAGATGGATTCGCTAGGGCAGAGGCGCAGGACGAGGACCTCGCGTGCTCGGCTCAGGGGGCGGCGGTCTCAGGCCCGAAAGGAGGCTGCTTGGGTGGTGCAGGCACACGCTGCAGCACGGTGGGGCGACGGGCCGTGCCCAAGTGCGTGCGCGTGGCCTAGGTGATGGCTTGCGTGTACGAGAGCGCGCGACGGCGGCCTGGAAGCCGCAGGTTCCTGGCGAACTCGTGAGTGCGACATGGCCACGACCATGGGTGGCCAGTGGCGGCGGTGAGGCCCCGATGCGCTGGTGCGGCATCTGTGTGCAGGCCCGTGACGGCAAGGCGACGGCGGCCGTGTGGGGCTGTGTCTGCGAGGCCGTGGTCAGGAGCTGTGAACGTCGAGGCGGGTGGCAAGACAAAAGTCGTGGCCTTGGCCGCGAGTGCGACGGCGAGGGCGGAGGCACGACGGCGCAGGGCTGGTGTCGTGGCGTCCGCGTGCAAGTCTTGGACAGGGACAGCATCAGCGGCGGGTAGACGCCGGCACAGGGTAACAAGGCCGCAGTTGTGCGGGCTTTGGCAGGGCAGAGGCCGGCGGCTGTCACGCTGTGCGTGTGTGGTGGGCAGGCGGCGACAAGCACGACAAGCCTGTGCTCGCGACCGTGTCCTCGCGGGCTCAACGCCACGGAGTGCGCGACGTGCAGGGCTGTGCTCGTGCTAAGGCAAGCGTGCGGGTGTGATGGCCCTGCGGCAGCAAGGCAAGGGGCAAGGGCCGGTCCGCCGCCGTGCTGTGCGTGTGCGCCGCGAGCGTCGAGCTGCGGTGGGTCGTGCGCGTTCAGGTGTAGCGCGAGCAATGCACGCGCCCGCGGCCGGTGCGGGGTTGTGCGGCGACGGCGAGACGGCGGCAGCAGTACAGCTGTCCGGCGGCGCCCAGGCCGTGGTTTCGTGAGTGCGCCTCAAAGGCCAGGCAGGCGGAAACGGTAACCAAGGGCCGAAAGGCAGGGGCTTTGGCTCGTGTATGGCCTGGGTGACGCGCGTGCAAGGCAAGGACGCGGTCATGGCGGCCGTGTCCGTGTGCCGCACTGCGATGGGCAACGACTTGTGCGCACGGTCCGAGGTTATGGCGCGTGGTGCGTGCGTGTACGTGCTAAGCTCGCCGCCGTGGTGTTGCAGCCTGTTCGATTGCTCGTATCTGGCAACCACGAACAGTATTTTTCTCCCACACCAAACCAACCAACGGAGTCATAGCTTATAAACCAAAGCCGCCAAAACGAACCGGGCGCAAGCCTTTGGCCTCGTGGTATGTGCCCGAGGATGTGGTCGCGGCAGGGGCCAGTGAGGCCATGGCTACCGTTCGTGCAAGGTGCGTACGCGACGCAACGACCGCGGGTGTCCATCGGTGCGGTAACGTGCTCGGTGCTCCGGCAGGGCAAGACGCCGGCACGAAGGCCGGAACAGGCAGGGATGGCAAAAAGGCGAAAGCTTGGGCAAGTCCGAAGCTTACAGTAGGGCTCGGAGGATGCCGCTGCCTTGTTGAGTTGCCGCAGGGAAGGCTCGGTGCAGGGCGTTGCGTCGGGTTCGTCAGCGCTCGGTGTTCAGCGGCGTGTCCGCGCCTGGCTTGGGACGTCGCGGTTCGTGGTGGCGAAGGCTCGAGGCAGGTCCAGGGCTCCGAGAGGCGTCGTGGCCGTGGTAGAGTAGGTCCTGGGCGGCGGCTTCTGGCTCAGCGGCGAAGAGGTGCCTTGAGGTCGTAACCTGCGTCCGTGGGGAAAGGCCGGTGGTAGCGGGCTCGGCGTCGCGGTCGCTGTCGTGGACCTGCCGAGGACGCGGCGCTGAGGTGAGGCGTGTCCCCAAGCGGCTCCGCCAGGAAGGGTTCGGCCTCCCTGCGACGAGCAAAACACGGCACGAAGGCCGGTCTCAGGCTGGAACAACGTTAGAGGAGCGAAAGGTGGAGGCTTGGAGAGGGATAGGCTCACCGATGGCTTGAGGATGAAGGCGATGCAGACGGTGGTCACGGATGGGTGTTAGCAGCTCCGCGTCGCGGTGGAGGTCGTGGTCGCGGCGCGGCTTGGTGGCGAAGGGAGGTGGCTGTGGTGGTCGCCGTTGGTCTGCTACGCCAAGGAGGGAGGGGAGGTTCGGCTTCCCTGCGGTGAACGAAACAAGGCACGAAGGCCGATCTCAGGCGAGGGCAACGACAGAGAGAAAGGTTGAGACTTTGGCAAGGGAAAGGGCTAACCGGCGGCTTGGCAGTGGTGTCGAGTCGCCGTGGCCTTGACGAGGACGAGAGCTTCGGCGTTGGCGACGACGAGGTCGTGCTCGGTGCGGCCGGCTCCCGCAAGCGAGCGCAGAGGCCGCGCTCTGGCGCGTCGCGCCGAGGGAGCAGGGGAAGGCAGAGTGGCGGCGGACAGGAGGAGAAGGTGAGGGCGTGGGCTCGGCCTGGGGTTTTATAGGCGGTCCTCTAGGGTTCGCAGGGGCTCAGACGTGTTCGGGAGCTTGGGCATCAGAGGCATGGCGCGGTTCGGCGGGGAGGGGCGACTAGCGTACGGTGGTGATCTTCGGCGTCCGCGCCGCCGGACGCGTGGCGTGCATCCGTAGCACGGGCAGGTGGCCAGGCTGAGAAGGTTCGAGAAGGGGAGCCGGGATGGGCGCGGTCTTGGGCGCGGGGCGCGGCTCAGGCGGTCCCGTGCTCACGTCATGGAGCTCGGCGCGTCGTGGCTTCCGGCTGGCGTTCGCGACGGAAAACAGAAGGGCGCGTACGGAGGAAGGTGATTACGGCGGGGCGACGGGAAAAGAGCGACGGCGTCTCGGTTCCTCCTTCCTGCTTCGACTGACGAGCGGGTCCCACGGGGACGGCGTTTTCACATCACGCGTGCAGCGCACGAGAGCGGCATCCGATGGGAGCGGGGCAGCGGGCAGCGGCTCTCCCCTGTGCGTGCAGCGCACGTGAGCGGCAGGGAAGGGGGAGCTGGGCCGCGCGCTGATGCTCGGGTTGGGCCAGCGACGCAGTGGACTGGGCTGCGGTGGCTGGCTTGCGGAGCCGAGTGGGCCTGAGGGAGAGGGCGCGAGCTGGGCTTGGTAGAGTGATGGGCCGATTGATGAAAGGCAAGGGAGGGAGGTATAGGATGGAGTTTTGGCCCAAGGGATTAAGGAGAGGTTTTCTATTTTCTACACATGGATTTTAGGAGAAGGGCTACCTCCAAGCACGCACAAGATAAGAACCAAATCACTCATGCATCTATACTACATGGTGCACAAGATTACTGTCAATTCGGTTTGAGAGAGTATTAGGTCTTCATTTGAAATCAGGGTTAGAAGGGGAAACAGTTGATTTAAGTTGGACCTAATATTACATGCAACACAACAACAAGCAATGCTTTAAGAAAAAATTTAAAAAGTTGGGTTTTTCAATACATGCAAGTCTACGGGTTGTTACAGTCCACCCGTTACATGAATCTCGTCCTTGAGATTGAACGCACTCACTCGGTTAGTACTCATTCTGCATGTCAGTTTCTTTCTCTCAAGTGGCTTCGTCTTCTGTATGGTGGCGCCATAGAACCTTGCAAAGCGGGATGATCTTCAGCCTGTTCGTTTCGGCTGAAACGATCGTGGATTAGTACTGCTGGCTGGTTTGGTGTAAGAGAAAAATACTGTTCTAGCTTATAATCCACGATCGTTTACGACCAAGTGAACAGGCTTTGTTGTTGGTCTTCTTGACAGCTTTGTCCAAATTTCTGACAGGGTGTTCCAGGTACTCCAATGTGCTGCTCAAACCCACTGCTTCTTCTGGAATGCGCTCTTCGGCTAACCTCAAACGCTTCTCAGCTGTGAGACATGAAACAATGGATGTACTACAACTAGGCCTTCTGGCAATTCCAGCTTGTAGGAGAACTTCCCAATTCTAATCAAGATCTGGTAGGGTCTAATGAAGTGAGGTGAAAGCTTTCCTCGGATGTCAAACCTCTTAGTGCCTCTGAGGGTTGTCACTTTAAGGTACATCAAATCTCCAACATGGAAACAGAGATCCCTCCTATTGTTGGCATAGCTCTTCTGTGTGACCTTCAGGCTTTCTACAACCTTAGCAACATTCACTTCTGCCTCTTTGATCTTCTTCTTCCCAAAGATAGATCTTTCACCGATTTCTGACCACATCAATGGGGTTCTACACTTCCTGCCATAGAGAGCCTCTACTGGTGACATCTCCAAATTGGATTGGTAGGTGTTGTTGTAGAAGAACTCCGCATATGGTAAGCATTTGTCCCAATCAGAGTCGTATGTCAGTGCGCAAGCTCTAAGCATGTCCTCAATGACCTATTTCACCACTTCTGTATGCATATCTGCACGAGAATGGGATGCTGAGCTGTACTCGATGTTTGTTCCCATTGCTTTCCGCAAGCAATCCCAGAACTTGGCCACAAACTTGAAGCCTTTGTCAGATGCTATGCTGCTAGGAATCCCATGCAGTTTTAGAATCTCGGTAATGTACACATGTGCAAGCTTATCAACTGTATAGCCGACTTTGATGGGAATGAATTGGGATGTTTTGCTGGCGCGATCGACAATTACCCATATCCAGCTATACCCTTCTTGAGTCTTAGGCAATCCTGTGATGAAATCCATGCTGATGTTCTCCCATCTATAGACTGGAATTTCTACTTGCCT